GAAAAATGGATTCCAGTAATCATTCCCGAAAATTTAGAGAATGAAAAGAAATTTCGTTTTAAAACTGACAACAACAAATAAATAAAGTTAAAAAAAGAAAAAGGTATTTATTTTTTTATATTTTACTAAAAATTATTTTTTAAATATATAATATCTGTTTTATTTAGCTTTAAAAAACTTATTAATTTCTAGATTATCCGCATCCTTACTGGATGAATGAAAGTATAAACAACGTATTCAAATATATTGGTCTCTCCCCTCTAAACCAACGTATTTATACAAAATTAGAAATTTATGAATATAAACGCTATGAACTTTTTTGGGGGTAAGACCTTTAAAAACAAACAAAAATTAATTACCGAAACACTCGCACTAATGCGAAAAAGTGAAGAAAATTGGAGCGTAATTCATTATAAAAGGGAAACCCTTGTTTTATTTCTAGATGGTAAGGATCTTTTTTCAAAAAATTTATAAATTTTAAATATATTTGTTTAATTTTTCTTAAATGATTTAATATTTTTTAGAAATGGACATGGTAAAATAAAAAAAAAATGGTGAGTAAAAATATTTCTATGGTTTTCAGATATGTGCGGTTAAATTTAATATTAGTTTTTTGTTTTTTTCCAGGTTCAATAAAAGCACTTTTTTAGTTTAAGAAAAATAGACTTTTATTTGAGTAAACTATTGCTACATTGATTACATTTAATTTTTATGTTAGATGGTAATTTACCCAAACGGAAATAATTACGTATAAATCTTATTACAAAAGCTTCATTGAATATTTTAGTATTAGGCTGTAATATTTTTATATCTTGATTTCTTGATATTTTATAGATAAAATATAGACAAAAGTATCCGCACTATATGGTAATTGCAAAGTTTTTTGATTCCAGCATAAATTTTTTGAATTAACACGAATAAATTTTATAATTGATCGGTTTTTAGGAGGTAATCCATATGAGTCGAAGTAAAAACACGTCAAATCTTGAAAATATATCGCTATCCAATGTTGTCCCTGCTTTAGAATGTTATCGGTATTAACTATAAATTCTTTCTTTTTTCTGATCTGATTTTTTTGGGGTATAAACGCCTCCAGATGTCTTGCTAATTTCGGCATCTCCTAATGCTAGTTTCCATAAGGTAATTGTATCCATCGTTTAGTAGTCGATGTAAATATTGCGAGATTGATCGATTTCTATTGTATTACGGTACTGTAAAAAGCACACGACGTTAACTGTCTCCGGTAAAGATCTTTTAAACTTTAAATCGATATTAATGTTTCCTTGTGTTAAAACACTGGTATGATTTTCCAACACCGCCTTATCGGGAGTTAAATCAAACACGTGAAACATGTATCCTTGTGCGTATTCGGAATATGATATATTAGTGTATTTTTCGTAGGGAATTCCCTCCATCTCTTCGAATAATGTTGCATAACTTCGAGCGTAACTTTTTTCATCGAAATCTGGAGTATAAGGATTAGGAGGAATTAAAATCGAATCCTTTATAACAGAAATATAATTTAAATCGAAATTTTCAAAATTGAGAGGATTTAAATCGAATTATCCATTAAATGCATTATTACATACTAATCCGATTATAATTCTTTTTGGGAGTTGCAATTTGGCACAGAGTATTTGGTGCCCAAATCATGCGCATGTAAAATAAACCAGACTTGTAGGTAGTCAGGGGACCGAGAACTGAGTAAAAATAAAATACAAAACGCTGAGACTGTTTCTATGTACAGTGTGAGATTTGCACGTGTGTTGCTCCTGCTCTCCGAGACATAGCTTCATCCCAAGAATGGCTTCGCTGCTTTTCTTGTTTTCTTTTTAATATGTATATTATTGCTATGTATATCCAATGTGTTTAGATGATTTGATTAGTGATTATTACTTATTAGTAGTATTATGTGGGATTCTACATAATTCTACTTAGAATTTTCGACAATGAGATGTTATATTGTTGTTTTGACTTAGATATACATTAGCAGAACAGTATCATAATTTAACTAGAATATTATGAAAATTTTCAAAAGAAAATAATGTATGGCTTTATTATGCTAGTACATTTTCATTTTTTTCCTCTTCCTTCTGTTCTTGTATTCATGTTAGATCTTTTTTTCATGTCAGATTTTCTCAACTTTGGATAGAACTCTGAATATCAAGACAACCAAAAATAGGCAGTTGAAGATCATTTTTCTGTTTTACTAATACCTTAATGGAGAATATTTAAATGTGTATCAACATATTGTTTAAACAGGTGAAATTTTTAATTTGGTTAGATGAGATATTATGCATAAAATAATAGAGATTAATTTAAGACCTATATTGACATAGGTAAAATATCTCCACCTTAAGTCTTTATCTTGATAAGAAAAAATAGTTTGGCTTCTCTAAAGAACTAGTTAATATTATATAGAATCTGAAACATTAGGAAACTGAAAAATCATTGATCAGATGGTTGAATATGTGACCATTGCTTCCTTGTACTGATATGAAAAGATAGGACTTTGGGATATTAATTTTCAAATTATATGTATCAAAAAACTATATTGAATCTTTCATATAAATTTAATTTCGGCAAGAAAAATTAAAACATCCAAATTATCAATCAAATAACTATGCTTGTTTCATGCTTATCTCAGATTAAAAGATGCTTAATTAACAAAGCAAAATTTACAATAATGATATATTCTCTGTCTTTATTTTTTAATACTCTTTCTATGATTATAACAAAATTTAATAATAATCTTTACTTATGCTATTATAGAAAGTAGAACAAAACAAATTATTTCAAATGAATATGAAACAAATATTGGCACTAATATGTATTATATAGTATTTAGTTCAAGCTTAATTTATAAATGTAGATATATCCTGAAGTATTAGGCAATTTAATTATCTCAAATAAACATTTTTTTCAGAATGTATCAAAACCAAATGTAGAAGTCTGCAATTTTTGTTCCCAGGGTGACAGTGCATTACAATATAGCTGGAGAACATAACAATGGTATGTTATTTTTACACTTAATATTATTTAATTTAGTGTGTTTTTTACATGTAAAATTTAAAATAGAATGTCCATAATTCTTTTACCAATTTGACAAAATGTAGTAAACACAGATAGAGAGAGAAACTGTTGAAAGTAGGATGTAATGTGTGGTGATTGGTGAAGCTACTTTTTACCACATCTCAATGTATGCACCATTTGTTGCACATATGAAAAGATGTGAAACACTTGATAAAATGACAATGCAAATAACAATCAAATTGTTTTATTGATCGACTGAGGCAACATAGATTGGAATGCCTGTTGCAGAGACAATTATATATAATGTATGTATGTACAATGTCTCCACTCTCGTTCAAACTACCCGCGACAGTTATATATATATATATATGTTACTGTGAATGACCGATATCTGGCAAATGTCAACATTCTCCAGTGAATGTCATCATTCACACAGTCGTTTCGTGTATGTACGAAATATTTGCTAAATATCATTATTTCTCACACCGGCAAATGTCGACATTCAGCATGCACTGATGGTGTGTGTTGAATAAAAATATTTTTATTACGTTAAGACAAAAATGAAAAATGCAACTTTTTAATATGTCAAAATAGGAGAAAGCTTAAGTAACAGCGCATGTAAATAAACTGTTGAACCTAAAACAAACAGCACATTCTAAATCATAAAAGAAAATAATACAATAATAAACTTACACATAAATTATGTGATTAACGTTATACAGTCTTATTTATTGCAACAGCTTAAACTGTTATAACACTTCAAATTGCACAAGAGTACCTTGCTTTTACAACTGCATTTATTTGTGGAACACTTCTTTTTGCAATGACAGCATGTATAGCCTTGCCCTCCACGTTTTGAATTAGCCCCAGCTGCTTCTTCAGCGATATTTCTTGAGAAGAAAGCTCATCTATGGAAAGTAACTTTTCTTTACAAATTATGAACTTATTACAAGTATAAAGCTTGCTTGAGGGTGCCATTTTTGTTTGCTAATTTATAAAAGTCGGAGTCTTCTATTCCAACAACAACTGCCAACACATTTCGAGCATCTGTACGGCCACGGTCGACATCATGGACTTGTATTCATATGGTATCACCAATTTGAGCAGAAGGAAACGGAAAAGAATTTGGCGACAGACTGTCGCCTCTCTGCCGACATCGGCTTCTCGGGTGTCGTTTCGACTTCCACCAAAGCTTATCTGTGCTTGTCGACATACAATGGCGATTGTTCGAATGTATAATAATATAACTAAATATTTGGTCTTTCATCGACGTATTTTGTATGTATCGACATTCTCTAATTTCAGTCTTTCACAGTAACATATATATATATATATATATACACACATACACAATCCTGCTTAAAACTAAGATAATTAAAATTCAACTTAAACCTAATACTATTACTACTTACAACTAGAAAGAGAAAAGAAAGGATGAAGGACAGTTGGACAGTCTACCAGTATCTTTGATCAGTGGGTCCTGACACTGGGGTAAGTGTCGATGATAGTCACTTCGTGAACGGTGAATGTCCAATCTGTTAGCATCCGGGGAATAAAAAATCGTTAATTATAAATAGGTGCCAAGGCAGGTCCTTGGATTTCTACGGAACAGTTGGCTCACTTATTTTTAAGTCCTTATTCCTATGTGGTCTATACTGACCATCTCTCGCATTCATCCTAAGCCTTGTACCTTGTCTCCCGGTCATTCTTGTCTGACCTCTCTCCTTTGTGGCGAACCCAAAAGTGTCTCATGTTCTCACATGGTGTCCACATGACCCCCTTCCTGTCCCTTTGTAAACTGGCCAATCAGGACCCATGAATAGTACAGCTCCTGCCACATGACAGGAAAGGGTTAAAAACGGAAGGAAGAAGAAAGGAGTTCTTATTCTATATACAATTATTTAAAAAAAATGGCGGACAGCCACACATGCAACATATCAAGCCAATACTCATTTCCAGCCATGTTTGGTGCAATTGATCTTTATGGATGGGGAAATTGCATCCTGGATCTTTTGTTTCAGGTCTGCAATGTCTTGTACTTTTATTTGATACACAATATCCTTGACCATGTCCCAAGAGAAATCAGTGGGAGAAGGCTGTGGGTGATCTATTCCAGATATGTCAAGCTTTCAAGTTTCTCTCAATATCTGGCCACTCCTGTTGTGGACCTGGCCAAATTGTTGATGTGTATTATTACTGTTCCATGAGCACTAAGATGGTTTTTTAAAAAATATATTGTAATAAATTGTATGCACAATCAATGGTTTCATCTGATGTCCTTGGTCAACACTTCTCTCTTTGTCTAGTACTACTGATTCTGTCTCCATAAATTTTTTATGCTACTGGTGAGATGATGGAAGTTTTTATACTTTATTCTTTAGTATTGTTGCATCTGTGATTAAATTTTAAAAAGTTTAAATTTATTTTGGTGTGTGTTGTGATGATGATTAGCCATGCTAATACTGAGAGAACTTGCTTTTTAAGCAGAGATCTCTATGAGTTCAAATGTAATTTCTGAGTTAAATATTATTACATCAGGTATTTTATATACAATATAATTTCATATTCATCTAGTTTTTTTATCCATTTATATTTAGACTGTCGTTCTGAAGATACATTGAGAAGTTGAAAAAATTTGCTTTGGATCTAAATCATTAAGTAAAAACAACTATACTAGATTGTATACCTGAAAATCATTGTAATGACTTTTGAAGCATTAGAATCAAGTTTTTGCATTGAGTATTACAATAACTCATCTTCATTCAATTTTCTCTCTGAAAGTGAATTTGCTCAGTAAAAAAGCATTATAACCTTTATGAAAAAATGTTTTATTTTGATATTACTCTTTATGTAACAATATTTTCAAATGAAACTTGAAACTAAATAAAAACTTTTATTGAATAAACATTTAGTACTTAGGACTTACTGTCACTCATCTCCGTATAAAATGATCAGTTTTGGTCAACTGTCATAATGTTAAAAAATTAGAGAGGTTGAGGTGCAAGTACAAACATTGAACTTGTACGGCAAGTAGAAATATACATTTGATGTTCTAAGTCCAAGTAAAAGACCTTGCAGCACTCATTCACAACATCATGTGACTCATAGAACAACGTGCATAGAACATCATGTGACTCATAGAACAACGTGCATTGATTCATGGGAAATTTGAAGAAATGGCGGATACATTTAACATCAAGAGTTACCAGCGAAGGTAAATAAGCAAAATAAACTATTTTAAAGTATTTATAGGATGTTTAACCCATTAAGTCAGATTTTCCAGTCAGCCTAGTTGACCATAGAGTAGTCTTTTAAGCCTGTCTTTATTGTAAACACAAATCTAATAAAATTATACAAGAAAGCCTTCATGCCTTAGCCTGGATCATTATAAGGTTTAGTGAATATGCTGCTGAATATTATCTTCCATCCATAGTTAATTTCTTCATCTCATGTTTCTTCTTTTTTATTATTTACATGCTAGCTGAATCTTTCACATGCTTCTTTATTAGTGTCCTTTTCACATCTTTCATATATTCAATGTCAATATGGCAAGGCCTAGTTCTTATGCTGTAGACAGTAACCTTTGTCCAGATTCATATTTTCTTTTTAAATTCAATTTCTTCTCCAGAGTAATTTCAATATGCTTGTAAGAAGGTTCTGTTTGTCAAGTGCACACTTATCACCAGCAATAAAGGGCACAGGAATATATAAATTATCCATTATGCTGACAAAATTTTAGAAGCAGAAAAAAATACTAGTTATAAAAGATTCTGAATATACAATTTTTTGTGGCTAGTATTTTTTTTTTACTAGTATGTATGTGTATAGTACAGTACAGTACCAATTTATGAAATTGCCTCATTCATAAAAACATAAATGGAAATTTATAAATAGGGATAGCTTAAGATTCGTCCATAAACTATGTATCCTGTTTTAGTTAATTTTTAAATCTCTTTTCTTGGTTATCAAATATGGTCTCCTAGTCCCATCCTTCAATAAACAACAATGGAAATTTCAAAACTCTTTTTAGAAACATTACCTTATGCCATTGAAACAAAAGTATAGTTTAGTAACACAGGCTACTATTTTTAATGCCCGTAACTTACCTTTCCCGTATTAGCTCCAATATGTATACAGTCGACCCCCCCTATAAGATAGAGATATGTTCCATTCTTTAGGAATCCGATTTCTTACGAATCCTTCCAATCACAACCCGACACGTGTCAAGTTTACGGACTACGGCTGTTTGAAAGATTTTCTTCCATAAAATTAATCGATTCTAGACTAATCCGACTCAACATTTCCAAAATACGTATATTTTTTTTGGGAATAATCCGTATAAACTACGCTATAAACAAAAAATTGTAGGATTACTTACCGAGTGTCACCATTCGACATCGCCATTGCTCAACATTGTTTTCGTCGCGGAACAGCTCAGCAAACAGCGGCCGATTTCTAATAACTTATTTTTCTGCGAATAGTTCCTTGAACTTCGGAGACATCATTAATATAAATAATTTTAATCGCCGTTGAATAAGAAATGTTTCTTTCACAAGAAATGTATAAAATTACAGTACTGTATTAGACTTACGGTACCTAATTTACATACTGACAGACGATAGTTAGCGTAAAAATCTCCGTAGCGTGGCGCCACGCTAGACGGCGGAAATTATATATTTAATTATAACGAAGTTACAATAAGTTAATATATAATTATATATACAGTACCTAATTAATATATAATTATATGTACAGTACCTAATTTATATAATACTGTCCAGACGATAGAAATCTCTCCGTAGTTGGCGCTATGGACGGCGGGAAAGTAGTTCGGCTGCCCGATGACGTTTGAGGTAATTATAGGTAATTTTTACTGTTTTTTACGGATACCGGTCACAATTTTTTTGTAGTTTTATAGGAATCGTAATTATAGGGGGGTCGACTGTATTCAGTTCAAACTATATCTGTTCTGTTATTACTGTACTAATTTTCTCCAAATCTTCAGGAAGATCAATCCAGTGTTGTTTATTCAATCCTCTTCCCACCCCTATCAGTTCATGAATATTTTTGTGACCTTAATTTTTAATAGAACATTAATTAAACATATAATAATCTCCAGAATTGGATTCTTTTAACCTTTGTACTACCAACTTTTTATTGTTACCACGAATACCATGGGGTCAACGTTGACCCCAATATTTTCTAAGAATATATTTTAGTGATTTTTTTCATTTTATTGTTTAATTTTGACTTTCACTGAAAATACGAAATGTTATGCTACATATTTTTTTTATTATACACAAATAGAAAAATAAACATACATGTTTATATACAATACTTCTTGCTCTGCATAAGGACTACTTGATGTACTGTACTACTACTGAAATTGTCCTGTCAAGAAGATACTTTTTGACAGTTTCGTTATTGTATTTTTGTGCCCATTTAATACGAAGTGCATTACATTAAGTTGTAAGGTCTCCTATTTTTTTCTAGGGGAACAGATAGCAGCGTGTGGTTTTTTTTAAAGAAGTGAACACTGGTTGCATAACAGAGAGGGTAACACCACATGGTGCACAGAACTCTAGCAGCAGCAGTTTGAGTGAGAGGTGCTTTTGATACTTAAAATGGCGATGTTTTCATTACAAGAACAATGCATAAACATTTGTTTTCTGCACTTGACACCCACCAAAATTCATTGCCAGTTGAGTGACACATGCGATGATGGTTTCATGGATGTGAAAAATGTGCATTCATGGGTGCAATAGTCACAAGGGCAAAAATTGTGTGACAATGAACTGGAACATCCATGCCCTCATGCCAGCTGGTCTGACAACATGATTGCACACATGGAGAAGTTGCTTCACACATGCAATGGTGTTATCATCATGAATTGCTTCCAGCATTGCAAGAAAAATGGCCGGAAAAGGCTGCATATGTGCTTTTCCATCAAGACAATGCTCCAGCTCATCAGGCGATGTTAACACAGGTGTTTCTTCATGGAAACAATTTTGAAGTGGTTTCTCATGCTCCCTACTCACCTGACCTTGCTCCTAGCGATTTTTGGCTTTTTCCAAAAATGAAGGACACTGTAGTCGCACATTTTTCCAGTCATGCCGCTCTAGCATCAGCGATTTTCCAGTGGTCAAAACAGACCCCTAAAGAAGTGTTTGCAGCGGCCATGATGTCAAGGTTGTACGTGTACAGGGAGATCATGTTGAGAAGTGACAGAAGTTTCAATTTGTTTGTGTAAGTATTTTATCAGAAAAAAATGGGAGACCTTAGAACTTGAATGCTTCCTGTCTTTCGATAGGTCAAAGCACAAGTTCTAATTCAAGCCAACATCAGCCAAGTTTTAATTCCACTTCTGGTAAGGCAGTAGTTTTAGTATTTTTGCTATGCTTTTTTGCCAGTGATTTTCATATTTCCAAGAGAAATAAGCATCCCCTAATCCTCTTTTTTTTTAATTCCAGTTTGAGTTCACATATCTCCATACTATAAAAGTATTTAGATTAGTGAGTCAAGAATGTTAAAAGGACGACCAGTTTACGTTGTTTTCTATTTTTTCAGTAAAAAATGCAATTATTTCTGTTATCAGGTGTTCATTTCAGTCTTATTTGTTTGGCACCAAATTAAAGAACTAATCTTATGGATACACAATCTGTTTTTTTGTCAAAGTGGGCGATAGGTATGAAAGTGAAGAAGATATCTTGTATGATAATTATGATCACTCAGATGATGATGATGAGATTGCTATAACAAGTGGAGGAGCAATACAATTCCAGCAGTTTATCAAATGATGATTCATCTGAGAACAATCAGGGACTTCAAGAACGATAAGGATCATAAACGAATATTTAACAATTTCACTCAAAAGTCTCAACATATAATGTGAGAAAGAAACATTGACAGTTATCAAAATAAGTTACCATGGGGTCAACTGTGACCCAAAGTTTACAGATGTGAGTTTTAATGTAACTTGCAAAATAAAGCCTTTTTAGACAGGCTCAATTGAGAAGAAAAATATTAAAAGTCACGAAAGGATAAAAATTTCAAACAGTTTTGTAAAAAATATAAGGCTTATAATGTAGAGAATATTTACTAAACCACATTAGAATGAATGGCATCCTGTCCCATCGTACGAATATCCACAAGTTTCTAGAACGTGTTTTTGAATTTGCCATAAGAGGACGGGTGTGTTTTGGTAGCCATTAAGGTACTGCTAATTATTATACCCCGTTCGCACACAATCCACGACTCACTTCGATCTCGATTATGACTTTCGCCTAGTCGAACGTCATGCTGTTCGCACAGGCAGTCCGCTTGAGAAGAACCCGGCTATTACACGCGATGATAAAACTGACATAACTACGCGGTTAGTCACGAATACCAACAAACAAAATGGTAGTTTTGGTTAGAAATAAGTACTTTTTCTTGCCGTGTATCTAATAATAGACAGATGACATCGTCTCTCCAGTTGTTTTTTTATTTCTCTGCTGATAGCTCGACACATGTTCCACAGCCAACTTGTATTTTCTCGCGCGCGTGGTATTGTGGGATTTCTTATGACTGGATCTAGTTTCAAGAATTCTCGAGTCTATCGCGATTGAATTTTATTTTTATAAGTGGT